ACATATGTCAGGACATGGAAGATAATAGCTCTCTACACATACCGTTTCTTTATTAATTGCGAATTGATAATACGAAGTTTAACTTTTGCTTATTATAATATTTCTTCCCTTTGTTATAAGAATCTTGACAAAGGAATGACCCACCTATTACATTAAGTGATGTTAGTAATTACACCCTGCAATTGGTAACCCGTCCTGGGTATGACAACCCCGCGTCCAGGATAAGACGATAAACTATGCCCAACAGCAAGGCTTCTGATCAGGAGGTTTTGAGGAGCGTGGAACTACGTCTTAATTGCTGGTGTTCCCAGGTACATCCTGACTCGGTGTGGTAGCACCTATTAGGGTCCCAGCTATGGGCAAATAGTTAACCCCGAAACTGGGATAAAAAGCATTATGAAAGTATAAAAATAGGTTTTAATACCAGAAATACTTGGTAAAAAAATATTACCAGAAATAAAATTTTGAAGAAAAAAACTATTACCAGCAATACATTTTTGAAAAAAAATATTACCAGAAATACTTTTTTTAAAATTATATTACCCGGAGAAAAAGTTGTCGGCATTAAATAACCCATTGAGGTTGATATGCCGTAAAACAAAATAAACAAAACCAATCTAAACCAAAGAATATATATTCTATTCATACGAATCTATCCTAAAAATGTTGTCGGCATTAAATAACCCATTGAGGTTGATATGCCGTAAAAAAATAAAATAAACCAAACCAATCTAAACCAAAGAATACATACTCTATTCATACGAATCTATCCTAAAAAAAAGTTGTCGGCATTAAATAAAAAATGTTGTCCATTGAGGTGTTGATATGCCGTAAAACAAAATAAACCAAACCAAACTGCAATTGGTAACATTTTACGCAATACACTATGACAGTTGAAGTCTGAACCATATGCAGATTATCATTATTTATTTTTCATTTATTTTCCCTGACATGTCTCTTTAGGACGTAAGCGATCGTGGTTTTCCTGACATTCAAGCAAATGGGAATTCCTATGACAGAAAATTGATGGCTTACTGTTAGCTTTCCCATGATATTGAATTTTCTGTTATTTTTAAAAGTGACTGGATGCCCACCTAAGACTAGAGAAACTAGCCTACACTGCTAAATTTAACCGATATCTGGTAAAAGTGGTAGACTCATGACTTTCCCAATGGTAATAATGCAAAATTGAACACAAACACCTAGGCTGAAATTTGAACTCGGCTTGTCTACTCCATTTTCCGTGTTGATTACTGTTATGCTTTTTTTTTTTTTTTTTTTTTTTAAATCGGTATCACCCCATGCAAGGCAGTAAAACCACTAAAATGCAAAGGGTTATAGGGTGTGGAGGAATTAGGAAATGAAACATTAGTAATGAGTAGAAAGAGAAAGAGAAAAAAGTAATCAGGAGAAGAGTCGATAGCGACTGACGTTGCACTTAGACTTTTGCAGATTAAAGTCGGCTGAAAATCATGGAGCCGGAAGGGAGTTCCACAAGCGAGAAGTGCAGGAAAGAGGGGCTGTTAGCATAGAATTTACAGCTGCATCTAGATGAGTTTTTTGATGCCAGTCTAATACTGCGATTAAATTCATAAAGTCTAGGTACCATTGCGAAGAAGTCCCCCGAACAATTACCATGAAAATATTTTCTGGTAATCTTACCATTTATCTAGCAAAATATCATTCTTCAGAGGAACAAATATTCTACAAGAATAACGCCAGCTTCCAATAGCACTTCGTCTGTCTAGTTTAAAATCAGAGGAGTCAATGGATCTGAGTGTCCATGCAACATCCTTACAAAAAATTCGATCATTCAGGAGAAGCTTATCGAAACCATGTTTTTTTTTGTTTTTTTTTTAAATGTATGACCAATAACTGTGTGTACCCCATTCTATACAACTGTGTCAACAGATGCAAAGACGATACGAAATAGCTAATATAAAGCTTGAAGGACGTCGCCATCCATGGAAACTATGAAATCAGGCATAGCGAATCATGAGTTTAAGAAAAAGGTGGAAATGACCAAATATTAGGGGTTAAAGTTAGTATGACAACATAGGAAAAAATGTCACAGAAAGAAATTATCTTCTAATAATCTTTCAGTGAGCTTGGCATAAACATCAGTTCCATACAAATATTTTTGATTAAGAAACAACAGACACACAATTTTAAGCTTCGAAATTCTACCATGTGGTTGTTCAATGCTGACATTAGTGTAGCGACCTGCTTAACCCTAGAACACTAACCATGGGTATATAGTACCCAGCCCAAATTTTCCTATTTTTAATTACAATTTTCAGTACCTGATTTTCTTACCTAAATAATATGTTTTTCAGTTCTTATTAATGTTAACTCAAAGTACAAAGTTTGAAGTGCCTGCATGTAAAATATTTCAAATAAAGATTTATATTTAATATTTTTTTTGATATTTTCAAAATCGGGTATGATATACCCATGGTTAGTAGTGGTGTAACTTTAATTGATGATTAGTGTTCTAGGGTTAAGCCATTCAGATATTTAAATGCAATGACAATCATTATGTCTTTTTAATTACTGTTTTTTATTGTTCCTTCTTAATAATGTTTTTTCTTTTCTCATATCCCTTCGCACTCAGTAACACACTTGAGTTTTAGTGGCTTTATTGCCTTACCTGAGGTAAAATGATTAACAAAAGATAGTATCCTAATAAATCAGTATATAATAATAATAATAATAATAATAATAAAAGAAATACAAGCGATTATTAGAACCTAATATATAAATGAATGAAAGAAATGAGTGCACAACAGAAATCAAAGGACATTTTTTTACTGAATTTTACACCGACGCCATATTTGTTTGTTTTTTTGACTCTCCATTTAATATGTTTATGTATTTTAACAGTACATAAATTCTATTTGTATATACACATAGACGGTTTTAAAAAATGTTTAACTCCTTTAAACATTCTAATGACATCATAAAATTAAGAAAATTGATGTTGAGAATGTCACTGAAATATAAAACCTACTCGGGGAACAATTATTATCTCTTGATTTGCAGTCTCTTGGGCTTTCTGGTTGCAATTTGGAGATCGCTCGTCAAACAAATATCATAATATAATAATAATAATAATAGCATATGCTTTTGCTGTGTACTTGAAATTAGCTTAGGAGTAGTGGTCTATAAAAATGGTAATACTTTTGTTAATTCTAATAATAATAATAATATTGGAACAGCTCGTATATTATGAAGATTGATGAAGACACGATGAAAATGTGCCATTTTCGTTCACTATGGACGGCTTTAACTTTGATTCCATAATCAGCAAAATTGAACGTGTTTGTAGATGCGATAATTGTAATAACATGGGCTTTATCTATCTGTCTATATTTCTGAGATCAGTTATTATGTTCATTACTAACATTGTTCGGACTATCATCCTCATCTTTGTTGCCATATTTATGACAACATTTCGGCCGTTGTACGCTCCGGCCTTCTTCAGGTGGTTGGAATGTCGAACTGAACCCTTTATTTCGCTCGCTGGGGTAGACTGTTCTAGTTCCACGTGCCATGTCTAATGGGTGTCAGTTATCGGTTCTCGCCTGTTAATTTCTCTCTCCAAGTTCTCCACTGCCTTAACCAGGTATTGAACTCACAGTCTTTGGGTCCTGTCATTGGATCTAACCAACGCCTTTATCCACTGTGTCATGTGTCCTTTATCTATGTAAAATATGGGTGTTTTTTTTTTTTTTTTTTTTTTTTAATTGCTCTGTGGAAAATGTCGTGATGCTATTTCTGACATTCGGTCTCTGGTTGGGACAAAAGAAATTGTTGGAATTTTTGGGTACCCTGGTGTACTAGTGAGCCAGCCAAAATGAGAGCTGACTCATTTTATAGTTCACCAATAGAAGGGTTAACCAATCAGAAGGCTCAAAATATTCAATGCGACGTGTATAAAGGCAGCCATGTTTTTTTCCGAATATTCACTGGCAGCCTTTGATATCGAAGACTGAAGAATTACGGAACAACTGCTGGTGGTATTGGCGATATAGTCAGATTCAGTAGAGTGTCTGACTCGTGAGTGTTAATCTTTAACGTTCTTTCATTGAACAGATTACGTATTGCGCTGTATTCTATATTCATAGACTATGGTGAACATGGCCAACAGAAATAAGAGAAAATAATAATAATAATAATAATAATAATAATAATAATAATCCGGTTACAGAGATAGGACCTGTAACAATTTTAGGGAACTTTACAATACACACAGATAGAACAATCAAAGCTAATCGCCCTGACATCGTAATCAGAGACTGCAAAAACAAAATACTGCAATGTATCTTGGAAGATCTTCAAAAAGCTATCAAAATACAAGGACCTTGAAATCGAAATCTCAAAAATGGGGCACATGAGAACATCAACAATCCCTGTTGTAGTTGGAGCCCTAGGATTGGTAGGAAAAGATTCAAGTAGACTCATTGAAGGATCCATTGGTAGCACAGGCCTTAAAGAAATAAAAAAAAGGTTCTCACAAGTGTATAGTTCATACCATAGGAAGGGCTTTATCTATATAAAATATGCGCGATGTATTTTTCAAAACTGCTTAGTGGAAAATGCCATGATGTCATTTCTGACCTTAGGTCTCTGGTCGGGACGCGAAAGAAATGAGCACACACCAGAAATCAAAGGAAATAATAATAATAATAATAATAATAATGTGGCATATGGGAACATCAACAATTCCTGTTGTAGTTGGAGCCCTCGGATTGATTGGAAAAGATTGCAGTAGACTAATTGAAGGGATTTCTGGAAATCCATGCCTCAAGGAGATAAAAAAAATGTTCTGACAAGTACAGCCCACACTTTACGAAGGGCTTTATCTATGTAATTTTTTTTTGTCAGTGGAAAGTGACATGATGCCATTTCTAAACTTACGTCCCTGGTTGGGACCCGGAAAAAATGTGTAAACGTCAGAAATCAAAGAAAATAATAATAATAATAATAATAATAATAATTTATTTCCTTTTTAAATGGGTGAAGGAGAAATTTGGGTTAAAAAAAAGAAAAATGGAGCAAATATGGGACGAAAGAGAATAACGGTAAGCAACGTAAGGTAACATACGAAAAGAAAAGAAAGAAAAAGAAATAAGAAAAAAGAAAGAAAAAAGAAAATTTAAATGGGTGAATGGGAGGAAGGGATAGAGAAAAGAGGAAAAAGAAAAAAGAAAAAGAGGGAAAAAGAGAAAAATATATTTACGAAAAATGGATGAAGAGGGGTGGGGAAGTGAAAACAGACGAAAGAGAATAACGGTAAGAAAGAAAGTATTAAGGTTAGATGAACGAAAAAACAGAAAAAGAATGAGTAAAAGATACAGTAAAAGAAATAGAGGAGGATAGAAAAATAGTAAAAAAAAAGAGGCAAAAAGAGTAAAAGAAAGATTAACAGAAAAGGAAGAGGAGAGAAAAAGAGCAAAAGAAAAGGAGGAGAATAGAAAAAGAGGAAAAGAAAGAGTAGAAGAAAAGGAGGGGGATAGAAAAAGAGTAAAAGGAAGAGTAGAAGAAAAGGAGGGGGATAGAAAAAGAGAAAAAGAAAGATTAAAAGAAAAGGAGGAAGATAGAAAAAGAGTAAAAGAAAGAGTAAAAGAAATGGAGGGGGATACAAAAAGAGTAAAAGAATGACTAAAAGAAAAGGAGGAGGATAGAAAAAGACTAAAAGAAAGAGTAAGAAGGAATAGTAAATGAATGAGTAAAAGAAAAAAAAGAGAAAAAAAAAAAAGAAAAGAAAGAGGAAAAAAAAAAAAAAAAGAAAAAAAGGAGGAAGATAGAAAATGATGGAAAAGAAAAGGAGGAAAAAAAAAGATTAAAAGAAAAAAAAAGGAGGAAGATAAAAGGAAAAAAGAAAGGAAAAGAAAAGAGTAAAAGAAAAGGAGGAGGATAAAAAAAGAGTAAAAGAAAGAGTAAAAGAAAAGAAGGAGGATAAAAAAAGAGTAAAAGAAAAGGGAAGATAAAAAAGTAAACGAAAAGAAAAAGAAAGGAGGATAAAAAAAAAGAGTAAAAAAGAAAGAGAAAAATGGAAAAAAAAGGAGAATAAAAAAAGACTAAAAGAAAAAAAAAAAGAAGGAATAGTAAATGAATGAGAAAAAAAAAAGGAGGAGGATGGAAAAAAGGAGGAGGATAAAAAAAAGGAGAAAAAGAAAAAAAAGAAAAGGAAGAGTAAAAGAAAAGGAGGAAGATGGAAAAAGAGGAAAAGAAAGATTAAAAGAAAAGGAGAAAGATAGAAAAAGAGTAAAAGAAAGAGTAGAAGAAAAGGAGGAGGATAGAAAAAGAGTAAAAGGAAGAGTAGAAGAAAAGAAGGAGGATAGAAAAAGAGTAAAAGGAAGAGTAGACGAAAAATTAATAGAAACGGATTAAATAAAGCATAAATATGGAAGAAAAGAAGAACAAAATTCTATCGGGTGAAGTGGAAAGAGGAAAGAAAAAGGGGAAAAAGAAAAAAGAAAAAAATCTACTGCAAAGTTTAGCAAACGTCACCGCAGGAAAAAAAAAGTGATTGTCAAAAGAAGGATTTTCTCTTGCCACAGCTATTTCTGTATGCAAGCTCGGCAGATTTAATTATTTTAAAAAGCTATTTTTAAAATTTTAATAAAGCCCAAACATCCGAAACTAGATTGATACATTATACATACGAAAAATATTAAACATTATGCATATTTGGAGGGAAAAACGAGATCACAGCCCCACACCCTTTAGGATAAGGTTGGAATAATAGACGGAGAACAAAACTGGAAAATATAAAATCTTCAACGAATCAGCAAATATGGTAGGCCACAAAAATCTCCCAAGTTGGCCAATCATAGAAATGAACTCAATATAGGAACCAGTAATATGGAGTGCTAGAGAAAAGCAATAATAGCAACAAATTGTAATATGAGCTTTGGAAAAAAAAATGACCTGGTACAATAGGTTTACAAGTCCCGAAAATCCATACACTCATGACCCCAAGGACACATGGAACAGTCGATGAATGCGTTGGTTGAATTAATCCAAAGAAGTTGTGAGTCCAGTAGAAGGGAACAAAAACTTGGTAAGCTGACAAGGGAGATAACTGAAATTGATACATCCGGAAGAGGCATGGCACGTGGAACTAGAACAACCTACCCGGGTGAACGCAATAAAGGCTCCGATCCGAAAATTAAACGTACATCGTCTGAAGAAGCGTACAACGGCCGAAACGTCGTGAATATGACAATAAAGACGAGGACAATAGTTCGAAAAAATGTAAATAGCTACAAAAAAAAAAAAAAAAAAAAAAAAGAAAAGAAATTCTTCACAGAAATATAGAAAAATGCCTGAAGAAGGCCAGTGCGTACAACGGCCGAAACAGCGTGAATATGACGATAAAGATGAGGGCAATAGTCCGAAAAATGTAAATGGCTACAAAACCCCTCACATAAATATAGAAAAATGCCTGAAGAAGGCCGGTGTGTACAACGACCGAACCGCCGCGAATATGACAATGGAGACGAGGACAATAGTCCGAAATATGTAAAAAGTTACAAACCCTCTTCACATAAATATAGAAAAATGCCTGAGAAAAAGGGATGGAAAAGAGCAGAAAAACAATACGAGAGAAAGATTAAAAAAGAAGAGGAAAAAGAAAAAAAAAGAGAAAGAAGAAGCAGTGGAGGCGAAAAAGAATAAAAGAAAAACAAAGTTGAAGCAAAAAATAAGAAAAAATGACGAAGAAAATTGAAAAACCAACATAAAAATCTAGATATTAGTAGATCGTGACAGATCGATGAAGAAACTGACATCGATAGGTATTAATAAACTAAGATTAAAAGAAAAGGAGATAGATAGATAGATAGATAGATAGATAGATAGATAGATAGATAGATCATGAACAGTTCGGGATAGATAGATAGATAGATAGATAGATAGATAGATAGATAAAGATCTGGACGGTCTAAGATAGATAGATAGATAGATATGAGCAGACTGTGATAGATAGATAGATCATGAACAGTTCGGGATAGATAGATAGATAGATAGATAGATAGATAGATCTGGACGGTCTATAATAGATAGATAGATAGATAGATAGATAGATAGATAGATAGATAGATATGAGCAGACTGTGATAGATAGATAGATAGATAGATAGATAGATAGATAATGAACAGTTCGGGATAGATAGATAGATGGATAGATAGATATGAGCAGACTGTGATAGATAGATAGATCATGAACAGTTCGGGATAGATAGATAATGAATAGATAGGATCTGGACGGTCTAAGATAGATAAAAGAATAGATAGATAGATAGATAGATGAAAAGATAGATAGATAGATAGAATAGATAGATAAATAGATATGAGCAGACTGTGATGATAGATAGATCATGAACAGTTCGGGATAGATAGATAGATAGATAGATTAGATAGATAATGGAAAAAATCTGGACGGTCTAAGATAGATAGATAGATAGATAGATAGATAGATAGATAGATATGAGCAGACTGTGATAGATAGATAGATCATGAACAGTTCGGGATAGATAGATAGATAGATAGATAGATAGATAGATAGATAGATGAGATAGATAGATAGATGGAGATATGAGCAGACTGTGATAGATAGATAGATAGATAGATAGATGAACAGTTCGGGATGAATAGATAGATAGATAGATAGATAGATGAATACAATAGAAAAAAAGCAGACTGATAGATAGATGAATGAGAGAAAGATTAAAGATAGATGAATGAAAAGATAGATAAAACAACAGTTCAAAAAAATGATAGATAGATAGATAGAATAGATAGATAGATAGATATATAGATATGAATATGAGCAGACTGTGATAGATAGATAGATCATGAACAGTTCGGGATAGATACATAGATAGATAGATAGATGAATAGATAGATAGATAGATAGAATATGAGCAGACTGTGATAGATAGATAGATAGATAGATAGATAGATAATGAACAGTTCAGATAGATAGATGGATAGATAGATATGAGCAGACTGTGATAGAATAGATAGATCATGAACAGTTCGGGATAGATAGATAGATAGATAGATGATAGATAGATAGATAGATAGATAGATAGATGAATCTGGACGTTCTAAGATAGGATATATAGATAGATAGATATGAGCAGACTGTGATAGATAGATAGATAGATAGATAGATAGATAGATAGATAGATAGATAGATAGATAATGAACAGTTCGGGATAGATAGATAGATGGATAGATAGATATGAGCAGACTGTGATAGATAGATAGATCATGAACAGTTCGGGATAGATAGATAGATAGATAGATAGATAGATAGATAGATAGATCATGAACAGTTCGGGATAGATAGATAGATAGATAGATAGATAGACAGATAGATAGATAGATAGATAGCCACTTGGCTTGGGATATGATGAAAGAGCGCACAAGTAATAAGATAATGAACGCCAATGGAGGAGGAGGAGGAGGAGGAGGAGGAGGAGAAGAAGAAGAAGAAGAAGAAGAAGAAGACGTTAGATATACAGATAGATGGCAATGGGATTAGAATATGATGAAATCATACTGAAAGTTATTAGAATGAACTCCTTAGTTATAAGATAAAATCAGTAATTACGACCTTGCTAACCAGACGCTTATCTGTAGCTAAATGGTATAGCACGTCAGGTCAAATAACTATTTGGCACAGGACACAAGTAAGATTCTTTTTGAATAACAAATATTTCCGATGAAATTTCTCGAAAATTCAGAGCAGAAAATGTAATTGATACTGTTTAATTAAACAACAGAACATTTACTTAAATAAATTGTATCTAATACAATAAAGTATAAACAGAAAATACACACACACACATACAGACACACATAATAAAATTATTGGTAATCCATATGGAATTTTCAAGATGGTATAGGTCCGTTGAGAGCTATATGTCAAAGACAGAGCTATGATTATATATATATATATATATATATATATATATATATATATATATATATTATTTATTCAAAAATTATAATATAAAATGTTATAAATCACTACAAAAATAGCCATTTTCTTTCAACAAAACAAAATGGCTATTTTTGTAATGATTTTATAACATTTTTATGTTATAATTTTCGAATAGATTATATTTGCTTCACCCTGTATTGATCACTCTTTTAAGAATAGTATTTGTTGGTAATTGGAATTTATTCCGTATAATACCATCCCTATACTTAGGTATTCATCTATCTATCTATCTATCTATCTATCTATCTATATATATATATATATATATATATATATATATGTAATTCTATTTTGAATAGATCTTTTCTTTTTTTAGGTTTCAATTGAAATCTTTAGCTAATTTCTGAATATTTTTTATTACTTTTTGAATATTCTTAGCCTACCACTATTTTTAATATAAATTATAACAGGTTTTCTAAGTTGAATACATATATGTCAAAATCTTAACCGAAGAAGGAGCCAGACAGAATTTCGATTTCGAACTAAAAATCTTTTTTCAAATGTCTTCTCGATTGCCATTTTACGTAACGATTTATGTCCACAATCCGGAAGTTAAATTAGCTCCTCTGCGAGTCCTAATGTCAGTTAATACAACTGAGATGAACTTTCAGTTCAGGTCTACAAACCATTTTCTCACCGTCACTTTCTACACGACAATAAAGTTACATCATTCTTCCCCCCACTCTCTCAATATGAAATCACAAT